AAGGCCAATTATGGCCAGTTCATGGAAGAAGCCACTCTTTTCTTTCTTTTTTAAAATAGAAACAGTCTTAACTCTGTCATCCAAGCTGAGTGCAGTTGTGTAGTCATGACTCACTGCAGCTTCGACCCCTTCCACTCAAGCAATACTCCTGCCTCAGGCTCCCAAGTGGCTGGAACTACAGCTGTGCACCACCCATACCTGGCTAATTTTTGTATTTTTTATGGAGACAGGGTTTCCCCATGTTGCCTGGGCTGGTCTTGAACTCTTGAGCTCAAGTGGTCCCCCTGCCTCAGCCCCTCAAAGTCTTATGATCACAGGCGTGAGCCACCATGCCCAGCTGGAAGATGCCACTCTTAACCCATTCACCTCTCTTCTGAAAAAGATCAGAAATAGCAAGAGGTTTTTTTGGCCTGGTTTGGGAGAATTATTTTTTCTTCCACCTTTTTGCATGTAGGCAGCTGGAATGTGAGACATTCTGTTCCTCCCAGGCAACACAGCTAGGACACAGATGTTCCTCTGAGTGGAACCTATGCCAAATATAAAAGATGCTAGAGCTAGATGTAACTGATTACTAAATAATTGTTCATAGTGTGGTGAGAGAGAAACTTCAGCCCCCAAACTAATAGCCTTCAGTGGTCCTGTTGGCTGCTCACAGGTATCAGAGAGAATACAGTGAATTTAAACGACAACAGCTGGAGCTGGATGATGAGCTGAAGAGTGTTGAAAACCAGATGCGTTATGCCCAGATGCAGCTGGACAAGCTGAAGAAAACCAACGTCTTTAATGCAACCTTCCACATCTGGTAATGAGATCTGGGGGATGAGGAGCACTGCACATATCTGGACCTTAACTGTTGACCACTAAAACTGCGTGCCTACTTCCTACAAAAGAGGGACCGTAGATTATCTTCACCCAGCTAGGTTTCTTTCATTCATAGTGATGGGATAGGCACAGTAGGGTTTGGAATTCTAGAGCTTGGTGACATCCACCCTTCTAAGGAAAGGAAAAGACCTGAGACCTTCAGCCGCTTCAAAACCTGGTCAGCTGCCTGGTACTGATTTGTTCCCAGGGTATTTGATGTTTTATCAGTTTAACTAAAAACTGTTGAGCATCTGCTCTGCAATAGGCACTGTACTAGGCACAAGTGCTAGGAGGACAATAGCAAAACAGTATGCAGTCAACCTTCTAGTTGGTTATCATCTGGTAGAAGGGATGGATAAATAACAAGCGGTTGTAATGCAGTGTGATGATGCTAAACCCAGGGTCCTGTGGGAACACAAAAGAGCACTTGATCCAGTTTGGGGAGGCCACATGGAGAGTTTCCCCATAGGAGACTCACGTTTAAATTTAGAGGTAAAGCAGAAGTCTGCAAAGAGGGGGTTGTTCTAGCAGAGAGAACATCATGTGCAAAGAAACAGGAAAGAGGGAGTGGTGAATTCAGAGAACTAAAAGGAGCTTATTGTGACTGAAGATTGAGTGTAAAGGGGAGAGTGACCGAATATGAAACTGGAGAGTTACCAGTTCCTGAAGGGTCTCATAGGCCTTATTAAGAGGTTTGGAATTGATCTAAAAGGCAGTAGGAGACACTAAAGCATTTTAGCTAGGGAAGTGACATAATTTCACTTATACTTGTGAACGATGGCTTTACCTGCAGCGTGGGGAATGACTTGGGATAAAGGGGTGGAATCGTTGGTAAGGATACCCGTCATTAGGAATCTAAGGGAAAAGAGCAGTAGCACTGAATTTGGAGAAGAGTGGACAGATCTAAGAGATTTAGTAGGTAGAACCAGGAGAGTTCGGCAGTTTTGCAGGGAAGGAGCTGAGAGAGCATTGAAGGATACCACCCAGCTTTCTGCTTTGGTGTATGAGCAGCAGGGGAATTGATGATGACACAAGTTTTGAACATGTATTTAAAGTGCCAAGTGCAGCTTGCATCTATGAACTTGAAGGTAGATTTAAGCTGGGTTTGGGGTGAGAGTGGGCAATCTCAAAAGCTTGAAGTAATCCCTGTATTTCTCCCCACCTTTCTGCCTTCCTCTGTAGGCACAGTGGACAGTTTGGCACAATCAATAACTTCAGGCTGGGTCGCCTGCCCAGTGTTCCTGTGGAATGGAATGAGATTAATGCTGCTTGGGGCCAAACTGTGTTGCTGCTCCATGCTCTGGCTAATAAGATGGGTCTGAAATTTCAGAGGTAGGAAGTGTAGCCCTTTCTTGGGGAGTGGTGTGTCTTTGATATAATCTGTATTTCCACTGGTACTGCTCTCCACCATGTCAGGACCCCTTGCTGCCCACAGTTGGGGAGTTTTCTGTGGTTGGAGAGCTTTCAGCATCTGGTTTTCCCCTCATCACAGGGCTCTTTCCACTGAAGACAGTCACTGAGTTGCATGGCCATAGTGTAGTTCCAGCCTACAGGCCCCAGAAGCTTAGAGTTCCTCAGGATATTCAGATTTTGTTTCTTAAATCTAAACCAAAATATAACATTTTTCCATGGAAGACCCCCCCCCCGGCAATTATATAATAAATGTAGTTTGTTCATTAAACAAAATCTTTTAACCATGGATCCAGTGGGGAGGTGGGAGAGGGAGTTGAGAATAAAAGAAGCCCTTGGCTATAATGAAGAGTGAAATCATTTGGCTATAACTTCCCAGTAGCCTCTTTAGGAGTTCTGTATCCATCTCTGTCTGTATCTCTATTTTAGGTATCGACTTGTTCCTTATGGAAACCATTCATATCTGGAGTCTCTGACAGACAAATCTAAGGTACTCTGTGAAGTTCCATTTTCACCGGAATACAGAGTTGTTGTGTCTGTTAACAAAGGTTTGCTTTGACATTGGCATTTAGTTTCTTTTTTAGACTGAGATATATGAAAAGCCAGTGTATTGTTCAATATCTTGTCTAGTTCAGGTTTAGTTTGGGGGGTCTTGTAGAGGAAAATTAGATTTTGATAGTCTGTTAAGAAGGGATATGGGCAGGTCAGAGGAGGGTGTGTACACTAGCATAGGAAAAGAATCACCATGAGATGTTTACAGGGTGAGTATCCCTTGCTCAAAATGTTTGGGACCAGAAGTGTTTTAGATTTTGGATTTTTTCAGATTTTGGGATATTTGCGTATACACAATAAGATATCTTGGGAATGGGACCCAAATCTGAACACAAAATTCATTTTTCTTTATTCTTTTCTTTTTT